AATAAAACGAGATGAGGAGAGTGTTTTCACGCCTCCTTATGCACGGCTCTAAGTGTCATTGAGCTATCAACTGTCAGCGGTTTTTGGACAATGAAGTTCTTAGTTCTCACTGAATCCAATTTTATTTCAAACGATTGTCACTGTGCTAGTTTTTTTTCTTATACGTTTTTGAAAAAGCGCTGAAGAAGTCTTTGATAGACGAAACCGGTCCGCTTATTCTTTTTCTGATTGATTTTTGAATATATTCGTAGACTACTGGCTCTTTACCTACTACAAAATTCGAGAATGTTTGGTATTACTTTGACCCGAACGATGTGCAGCTGAATTTTCCCCAGGCCCATGTCACTCCACTTTTGATGACATCATATGGGGGCCTCAGGACAATAATGGCGCGGCGCGCCACAATCGCTTCAAAGCTACTTGCCAACAGTTGCCATTTTTGAAAATATTATTTTGAAATAAAGTTCCAAGTAATAAAAATATTGTAATAAAGTTGTTGAATAAATCGATACCATATCTAAAAACTTACTGAAAAATGATTTATTCATAGTAAAAATATAAGCTCGATGCGTTTTTACGTTGCTTTCCTGCAAGTGCAGAGGGTTTTTAAATCGTCTATATCTTCAAAACCGGCCATTTCTTAGCATATTGCTGCTCTTTTTTATCGCTAGAAAATTAGTTGGAATTTCCAATGACATCAATGGTTGAGCGATATGTGTAGAGTGTCACCAACAATCTTCAAATGAAGTTAGTCATTTTTACGTTGTAAAGGAATGGAGTACCCCTTTCGAGCATCAGGGGTGACGTCACTCAGGATCTGTCTCTGATTGGTCGGCGGGGGAGTGACTGTACCTTCTATAGATGGCCTTGATTTTCCCTGTTAAATGATTATGGACAGCTCGCGAAATTAACTTCAATCTAAACTACCGACAAGCAGAAGAAAATCCGATACAAGCCTACCTCAATCCTCACACCTTATTCAACCGTTGAAACGTTAAAGGCAGTCGCTATGTCGACCACCCGCGCCGTGCTTGCGTTTTACGCCCTTCCCCCTCAGGTTTTTTGAGAATATCTCAAAAAACGGCGACGGTCAGGTCACCGAAACGTCAAGTGACCTTGCCTCAGAAAAAATTCGAAAGCTCGCTGTAGCTACACCGACTGAGCGGACTTTAAAACTTTCAGTGATTGCTTAGGGTAATAGTGTGTATAAAATGGATACCTCGGATATTTATGTCTGTGACCTAAGGTCAGGTCAATTTTGCGACTGCTCCATTGGGTATAAGTCAATGGGAGAAAGTTGAAATGCGCCTCTTTTGGACGAATCTCGTTCTACACCCACTCAAACATCGGTCCATAGGTAAACATTACACACTGAATCGGAAACTCGCACCTGTGACCCCTGTGTGTGCCCCTGAGGTCATTTTAGGACATAAAAGGTCTTCAGCAGTTTTTTTATTTTTGACAGAGACGTGCTAGAGCGGTGAAAACACCGTTGATCTGAGGTCAAATTTGAGGTCAATCAGAGCGGTGCCCTCTGGGGGCTAAACCGTTGATCTGAGGTCAAATTTGAGGACATGTTGGCGAGAGAGCGTTAAAAGAGCTATCGAATGCGCTTTTCTGCGGCGCTGTAGCTCTATTGGTTCCCGAGTCAGCCGTCGGGTGTTCAAAATCGTCGAAATCAACAAAATTTGACCTTTGATGAATCCTGGTGACCTGACCTTTGCCCTCACCTTAAAATGAGCGAGTGTTTTCCTCCTTATTTTTGACGCTCTTTCGATTGCCGCTTACCGCGTGTCGCTACGTGGCCCAGGAGCCGAGTTAGACGGAAGGGCGTGAAACGCCCCCCCCCCCAGCACTCGTCGGAAAGTTCATGCCACCAACACGGCGCGGGTTAATTGTTATGCTAGCTAGCTCCTGTTGTAAGCTGTTGAGTCGTGGACCTGATCTTGAAGGAACTGGGCCTAATATTTTCATAGCAAACGTAAAAAAACATGTTTAATAGGTTGTGCAAAAAATGGCATCTCCTTTATGAAACTTTTGCGAAACCTTCAACATCATCCCCAGACCCCATTAGTGCCGAGCTCCCAACGACGACCATAAAAGCGTCCCCATCCCGTCATAGGCGGCGGAACGGGAAGGGCACCGGGGCACCGTGCCCCCTTTGATTTTTGCATTTCAACATTAGCCCTATGAGCGTTGCATGAAAATAATAGGACCAAAAGTCGGCAGTGCCCCCCCCCCCCCAATTGAAGGTGTTCCGCCGCTACTGCATCCCGTCAACGTGGGTTTATCATAAGGATGCTAAAATTTAATTTCCATTCCGAAGCTGTAATGATGAAAAGCAAATTTACGTTTTACATGTGAAACAAGCTGACACAACTAAATATTTCCTCTCTCGCTCCCTCTCACTGATTTACCCATTGCCCTCTTTCTCATTTTACCCTCTCTGGTTTTCCTTTTCTGTCTCTCTTTTCTCTCCTCCCGTCCTTATCCCTTCCCTCCAGTCTTTCTTAGCTCTCCCTCTCTCTCCTCTCTTTCTCTCTCTCCTCTCTCTCCCTCTCCCTCTCCCTCTCCCCCCCTCTCTCTCTCTCTCTCTCTCTCTCTCTCTCTCTCTCTCTCTCTCTCTCTCTCTCTCTCTCTCTTTCCTCACAATATTCTCGACTGTCACAGCGCTGTAGGGCTTGTTTCCATGGACAGGTCCAGGCGCTCTCCACTCCGCAGGCCCCAGCCCACACGGCCCAACCGCTCAAACACCCTCCGGCGGATGACCTCTGACCTCGGCGACCTGACCCAGCCGACCGATCGCGTCCCCCTCCACGCCTCCGCCCTGCTTCCCCCACTACAGCTGCGTAGTAATTGTAGCGTGTGCAAAGGTCACGTGACATTATTTACTTCTGCGGCTTGTTCGGCTGACAAGAGATGGCACTAGTGGTCTGTGGATCAGAGGCGGGGCTAGGTTCTACGACTTCTTGGGGCACACTTTAGGGCAGAAAAGAGGTTTTTTGGCTCTCCATCCCAAACTGCTTCGAATATACAAAAACAAGTTAGATATCCGAAAATCGGAGGACCAAACGGATCGTTTGACGTATCTTGCGCGACTGATAATTGATCGGTCTTCAAACTACTGAACAAAAACGAGGTGATTAGTAGCAAGTGCTGGTGACTGTACATCGTCGAACAACATGTTCCATGATAGATGGGAGGTTAGACTGGCAAAAAAGGCCGAAATCAGGGTGTCAAAAGCTCACAAGGCCCATGACAAACGCAAGATGTTGAGAATTGGCCATTTGGGTCATGACATGACCTGAAAAAGAAGGTCATATCTCCGAAACCAAAAATCACAGAAACTTGAAATTTTCAGTGGACATCACAAAAGGATAGAGGAGCAGCATACGAAAAATCAGCCTTCTAGCTCTAAAAATGTTGAGTGCAGAGCAGAAAGGAAGACTACCTGGGGGGGGGGGGGTGGCAACCACCCCATGTACGTGCGAGGGTTAACCCACGGCAATCGCTCCCAAGAGCTCAGTTTTTAAGTTAAGCGCGATTTCTTTGCATGAGAGGACTTATAATAGACGTATCAAACTGCTATCTCGGATTTTCAAAATTTTGAAAGTTATGAAAATTATATATAATAAAATTCAACATTTATATTTTTATATTTATTTCAAAAACTTTTTCACTTTTCGGAAAAACCGGAATATATGTGATAGAACGCATGCTTATGACTTGCTATAGCAAGTTTTAGCTAAATATCTTCAAAAATGGCCAAGTTATACGCAACATTGCAAAAAATTCACAATTATAATTTTTTAATCAATTTTTCAGTACGTTTTGGACATCGTACACCAATATAAATAGCACCATCGTGTTCCTGAGCTCAAAATGTAGACAACTTTTTATTGAAAAATTTAAACATTGAAATTTGACCTTTTTTGACCTGAAAGTGACCTGACCTAAGCTAAATTCAACTCAAAATGACCTCGAATGACACACACGACATCAAATTCGAAATCTATGGCCCAAATGGACTATTAAACATGTGTCACGTGACCATCGCATGGTATAATATTTCCGTGACCTGTGATGACCTGACCTTAACCTGAAAATCAAAGTACAAGTTTGGTACCGTCTAAGCATCTGTTCACGAGTGTGTAAACCAAAAATGAGCCTGATCCGACTTGTAAGACGGCGGCCAGAGCCCAAAATGTGAACAAGTCAAAATGCTAATAATTTTTACTTTGACCTGACCTTTGACGTCATTGGTGACCTTGATGTCAATGAAATTAGGTTTCGCTCGACAGTTGTTCCGGGGCTATCAGACGCCGTTTGAATTTTGACGATCGGCCCAGTAGTTTCGGAGCTAGGAGGGGGGCTATGAAGAGCCCCCCTCCAGTAGGGCGCGTTATACACAGACCCCAGTGGGGCGTGGGTTAATGGAAGTGGTAGCCTAGGACTACCACTTCCATTAACCCACGTACTTAAAGTATTAGTACTTAAAGTAGGTACTAATAACTAATAATGTTTTTCATGCTTGCTGGATCGTTAGCACCTGTTTGCTTTGATGCAAGTCAAAAGAAATGAAAATGAAGGAAGATTGAACAGTATGTTACAGAATAAGCTGCTCAAGCTGCCGCTACATAAAACCTGGCACTGAAACTTATGAACTAGAAGTCTCGTTAAATATTTTGCCAAAGCATGTCAGGTACTTAAAATTACGTGAGGCACAGGTAAATGATAGGACCAGGTTGGACCCGGCCAAAATTTTTGGGGAGCCGGTCTGGACCCAGATGGGTCCAGACCGGTTCCATAGACCGGGTCCCCGGGTCCACATATTGCCACCTCTAGTACAGTGTCATTGTAGTCAGCTTTACTGTTGTACATTGTCACTGTAGTCAGCTCTACTGTGGTATAGTGTCACTGTAGTCAGCTGTACTGTGGTACGAGAGTCACTGGCTACGATACAATAAGAAATATTCCCAGGCCGATTCGGCCCAGCTCACCGGTTCAGGAACTTGCTCATATTGTTGAAGTCCTTGTCGAGCATGTAGGAGCCGTTCTCGTGTGTGATGAGGCCCACGCCGACCAGCGCCCGTCGAATGTCTGCCGACAGGGCGCAGCCCCGCATCCCAGTCACAACCCGAAACAAACTCGCAAATACAGCACAAATCGAGCACTTTCCATATTGACCTGCGCATCACTAGGTCATAGTTCGTAACCCCTTTGACTGGGGGATGTAGGGGCTTCATTGAGCCTCAAACAGTACAAAAGTCTGTTTATTTAGCAGCTGCCAGTCGCTTAAAGCGCTTTGAATGCCTCTGCCCTCTGCACGTGATTTGAGATGTAAGAACCAAGGCCATCTATAGAAGGTACAGTCACTCCCCCGCCGACCAATCAGAGACAGATCCTGAGTGACGTCACCCCTGATGCTCGCAAGGGGTACTCCATTCCTTTACAACGTAAAAATGACGAACTTCATTTGAAGATTATTGATGGCACACTACACATACCTCTCCACCAATGATGTCAATGGAAAGCCCAACTCATTTTCTAGCGACAAAAAAGAGGAGCAATATGCTAAGAAATGGCCGGTTTTGAAGATATAGACGATTCAAAAACCCTCTGCAGTAGCAGGAAAGCAGCGTAAAAAAAAAAACATCGAGCTAATATTTTTGCTATGAATAAATCATTTTTCAGTAAGTTTTTAGATAAGGTATCTATTTATTTAACAACTTTATTACATTATTTTTTGTTATCTGTAACTTTATTTCAAAATAATATTTTCAAAAATGGCAGCTGTTGCCAAGTAGCTTGGAAGCGATTGTGGCGCACCACGCCATTATTGTCCTGAGGCCCCCTTAGGACGTCATCAAAGGGGAAGTGACATGGGCCTGGTAAGAACATAAAAACGAGCCAATTTTCTTGACTATTGTGCTGGCGGCGCCCGATACAACATAGTTGGTAGGCCCATGCCACTCAGCTTTTGATGAAATTCTAAGGGGGCCTCAGGACAACAGTGGTGTATGGTGCGTCATTGTTGTGCATGATGCATGGTGCACCACCGTCGCTTCCACACTACATGCCAACAGTCGTCATTTTTGAAAATATTACTTTGAAGCGAAGTTACAAATAATAAAAATATTGTAATTGATGAAATACTAGGACTTACTCCACAAGGAGATCGAATGGGTCGGAGCGCTTTCAATATGTATTATACATATCGTCGTCAGCGAATCAATAACGGGTCGAATCGAGTCGGGTATCGAAGAGGTTCGGGAGCTGCGCGGCAGAGCGATCACATACTATTCGAATTATGCATTAAAGAGAATAAAAAACACGTGAGAACAATCATGATACACTAGCTGCTAAAATGAATTAAAATGGGGTGCTAAAATGCATAAATGGCACGTATAAAAATACAATAAAGGGGGGGGGGAAACAGGATACCTATGGTGATAAAGACTGAGTAGAAAAGACTATACAAAAATGAGTGCAAAAACTGTAAAAGGACGAGTACAAATATAAATACATACAAAGGCCGAACTAGACGTAAACACTACTGACAAAAACGGCGGATTATCGGCAGCCAGCGGTCATGCAGCAGGGCACCCGAGTTCCTGTTCACGTTTGCGTCATTCGGCGACACCAGGACGGCTTCACGCCGACCAACAGTCCGAATATAGGCCGATTCCAGGAGAAGTCGCATCTGGTGATGACTGGCTCGATTCAAGATCTTGATGGCATCGAAAGCAGGTGAGCAGTCTCTATGGGTACTGAAGGCCGATGTATTGGCTCTCGAGCGGACTGCTCCAGTCCAGCTCTCCCGGTGTTCTCGGAGTCTCGTGCCCAGCTCACGATCTGTCTCGCCGATATAGACCATTGGGTCACCGTCCACTTGGCAGGAGCACTCGATCCGATAGATGACGTTGCTCTGTTGTAGCTTAGGCAGATGGTGCTTAGCCTTGCTGCAGAGCAGCGAGCCGATGGTGACTGAAGGCTTGGAGACGAGCTGGATCCCGATCTTGCTGGCCTCCCGTTTGAGTTGGTAGAACAGGGGGCCGGCAAACGGAACAGAGACTCGGACAGGCGCCGGGTGTGAGTTCGCGCTAGGTGGCGCTGGTAGGGCCCTTGCCTTCAGTCTGAGATCGGTCCGAGTCTTCTGAATGGCCGAGTCGATGAATGATCGTGGGTAGCCATGATGATGAAACTTCTGGCGGATGAAGTCAAGCTCCTGCTGGCGGTCTCTCATGGACGAACAGTATCGGATCGCTCGAGTGCAGTCAGATCGAATGGCCGCTCTCAGGTAGCGGGTCTCGGTGTAGGAGCTGAAGGCAGGCACTTGGTTGGTGTTGCAGGACTTCCTGTAGACCTTGGTGCAGAACTTGTCGTCTCTTCTAGTGATGCAGATGTCAAGATACGGTAGCTGTCGGTTTACTTCCAAGTCAGTGGTGACATTGATGCTGGAGTCCTTGCTGTTCAGCTGGTTGACCCACGTGCTGAGGATGTCGTCACTGCCCTCGAACAAGACCAGGTAGTCGTCCGCGTATCGGCAGAAAGCATGGACCCTGCCACCACAGTTGGCCGCCAGGAGCTCCAGATCAGCCTCCCAGTGACCCATGTACAGGTCAGCGACCACCGGAGAGTAGCTTTTGCCCATGGCTAGGCCGGTAGTCTGCCTGAACCATCGCTCCTTGTCACCGTCTTGAATGACCGCATGGCAGTTCTGGATAGACCGCTGGCTGCCGATAATCCGCCGTTTTTGTCAGTAGTGTTTACGTCTAGTTCGGCCTTTGTATGTATTTATATTTGTACTCGTCCTTTTACAGTTTTTGCACTCATTTTTGTATAGTCTTTTCTACTCAGTCTTTATCACCATAGGTATCCTGTTTTCCCCCCCCCCCCCCCCTTTATTGTATTTTTATACGTGCCATTTATGCATTTTAGCACCCCATTTTAATTCATTTTAGCAGCTAGTGTATCATGATTGTTCTCACGTGTTTTTTATTCTCTTTAATGCATAATTCGAATAGTATGTGATCGCTCTGCCGCGCAGCTCCCGAACCTCTTCGATACCCGACTCGATTCGACCCGTTATTGATTCGCTGACGACGATATGTATAATACATATTGAAAGCGCTCCGACCCATTCGATCTCCTTGTGGAGTAAGTCCTAGTATTTCATCAATTTAATTCCATCTCCACATCATGTCATTACGTCAAAAATATTGTAATAAGCTGTCATTTTTGAAAATATTACTTTGAAGCGAAGTTAAAAATAATAAAAATATTGTAATAAAGTTGTTAATGAAATCGAAACAATATCTAAAAACTTACTGAAAATGATTTATTCATAGTAAAAATATAAGCTCGATGTCTTTTTTTAATGTGCTTTTCTGCTACTGCAGAGGGCTTTTAAATCGTTTTTATCCGCCGTCTCGCTCCCGAGGAAAAGGCTGGTTGTGTTCAGGGATTGTATTCGTCAGGCATGAGGCAACACAATGGTCAGTCACAAAGCCAGCCTTTGTGAGGTGACCCGCCCAGAAGATACAACACTATGCCTTGGCGAATACCTTCCGAAAATGACGGACCAAACAGGAATCCATTTTCAGCAAATGACAGATAACTCTGAAATCGCTGAAACGTATGCAGACGAGCGTCCCGCATGGGACTGCATACCATATACAGATACAGTCTTCATAAAACATGGCATAACGTACATTTACAGCATCGCGCTATACATTATATACAGTATACACAGGTGGCAGTCGGGGTGGGGGTGGGATGCTGGTCGCGACCGCTCGGCGCGCCGTCCAGTGAGCGAAAGAGCCTCCGGCCTCGTCCCGGCCGCCGCGGTCGCGCGCCTGACGTCACGAGGTCAATCCTCGGAGCTAGAGCGTCCGATAAATGAGTGTTCGGGTACGGTGCCTGCCCGTCCCGAAAACTAGCATTTATCTTCGAAACAGGACGTTTCGTATCATATTGCTGCTCTTTTTTGATTCACAATAAAATGCTCAACTGTTTGTCCTTTAACCCGCGCCCTGGTGGGGTCTGCTTATAACGCGACCTGGTGGGGGGGGGGGCTATTTTTTGCCCCCCCCCCTCGTATCTCCGAAACTACTGAACGGATCCGGAAAATTCAAACGGCGTTCGAAAGGCCTGTCAAATTTGTCTATGGAAACCAAATTTCATTGACCTCGGGGTCACCGATGACGTCACAGGTCAGGTCAAAGATGAAATGTTTCACCGTTCACGGGTCTTCTAGGGAATGCGCTATAACACCGAGGAAAACGCATTTTGTCGAGAATCAGCGATAGGGCGTCAGTTGCCTAGTAGATATGTTGCTATTAGAGGTCACTGACAATACCAGGTCAGGTCACAGGTCAGGTCACCAAGGGTCACAGGTCAGGTCACATGAGCCCAACTTTACTAAGGTTGTGTGATGCATGTTTTATGGCCGATTTTTCATTTCCAACTCAATGGTGTTGGTTATAAGACTATCAGGTACGGCTTAGGTCACTTTCTGGTGAAGTTCAGGTCAAGGTCAGGTCAAGGTCAGGCCAAAAAAGGTCAAATTTTAATGTTGATAGTTTTGCATAAAAATGGTATTGATTCGATGCAGCTCGTCACGGGGAGTCTAATGGTGGTCTTTGTTTTGCGCTACGGGGTCTAGAATTGCTAAAAATTGAGTTTGAAAATTTGACGTCATCAATTTTGAACAGTTTTTTCGCTATAACTTCGCCAAAAAAGAGGTATCAATCTCAATTTTGGTATGTGGATGTAAGGCGGTAAGGACTATCACATATATTCCGGTTTTTGCGAAATTCAAAAAACTTTTTGGATTTTTCGATTATTTTATCCAAAAAAAATATTTTTTGATTTTTGGGGGTCAAAATCCAAAAATTTCAAAAATCCGAGATAGCAGTTTTGCAGCCCTTCTAATTCTACACCTCTTATGTCGAAACATTTTTTCTGTATCTCTAAAGCTGTAGGCCTGACAGCTCTTCCCGCGAAGCCTTTTTTGGTCGAAAATGGCAAAAATGACGTCACTCTGACGTCATTAGCGGCCAACCTATCATAGCTTTTGGAAAAATTTTTGGTCACGA